AATTTGGGTTTAAAAATCGCTGTTACGTAATAACTCTGTAACAGTTGAAAATCGAATCGACAATGGGGGTGTAAATTAAAGGTATTGAACTGTTCTTTCAATTGGTAGTCAACAATTAAAAATCATATCGTATTCGGTTGCTCTAGTAACCAAAATATATATTTTTTACGCATGAGTGATTTTGACTTCCAGTATGAACTTTACTATCAACAGCGTCTAAATGTACTCGTCAAGACCTCAATTTGATACCAAACACGACTATGTTTCGTTCATAAACGAAAAAGTTATGCGCGTTTTTCCGCATGAGTAATTTTGTCTGCCATATTGAAACTCTCCTATCTCAGAAACAGTAAAAGATAGATCCATATAATAATACATTTTCTGTATCTACTGGCAGAGATCTTTCAAACGGCATATAAATCTAAGGGTTTTACGAACTTTAAAAAAATGGTTTAAAAACCGCTAATGGACCATAACTCGAAAAGGCTAAAAATCGAATCGAGAACCTAGGGTTTATTTTGAAGCATTCTGTCAGGTCTATCATTTGATGCGAAAAAAATCAAAATGTATATCGTAAAATGTTGCACAAAAGACGAAAAACGCTTTTTCTATTGTATTTTTGTTCGGTTTTAGTTACCATTGATAATAGTTTTTTTTATAATTTTGCACATTCGTGATGATCAGTTTTCAAAACATGTTGGCATTTCATTTCCAAAATGAGTTTAAAATTATGCCCAGTGGTAAACTGACACTTCAATAGCTTATTGCTAACCCGCTTTTACTTTAGACGGATAAACTTTGACAGTTGAATGGAGCATTGTCCGCATATCCTGCCGTAAATAAACATACGCCAGACCAAGTGGCTACTTTAAAGGGATTAACTTTAACATTTCAATAGGCCGTTGTTAGTGTATCCGTCCCTACATAAACATACGCCAGACCAAGTGGCGACTTTAAAGAGATTAATTTTGACAGTTGAATGGACCATTGTTAATGCATCCGCTCTTAAATCAACACACGCTAGACATTGCGACTATGATCACGTTCGGTGCACTCGTGACCAAATCTAAATATAGCCAATAAAGTCATAGCTCCGAGCATGCGCATTAAGGGAGTATACACTTATGCAGTCATTTGGATTCGGGTCGCCGAGGATTCAACAAGTAATATTTTTTATTGAATGTATAAATAAGAATTTATTATAGACATATTAAAAATATAATTAAGCCGTTTGTATTTTTTTAAACAGATCTTATTTTATTCGAACAATGATTTTATTAATTAATATGTTTTAGTTAAGCACGTATTTATACAAAGGTAATCTGTAATTATAATAATGGTGATTATCTCACCGTCTAGGGCCGAGGACCTGACCTACAATGTCCGCGATTCAAGCCCTAAGATCGTGTATACGAGTCAGCTCCGTATACTTCCGGGAAATATTTTTTATTTCTATTTATAACGTGATGATGTCATTCTTAAAATAGAATCCAAAATGGCCGCCAAGCGTCTGTTATTCAACACGGCCGCCGCGCATTTGTAGTGAGGTCATTTCTTCTATGCAAATAAGTTACTATTTATAGAAAACAAAATGGCCGCCGCGCATGCGCAGTCGTGGCGCCAAACCGACGCCCATACTACTAGTGTAGTTCGTCAACTTTGAACATACATATACAAAAAGTAAGTGTAGTTCGTCAACTATGAACATCTTTAAAGTTGTAAAAAAACCCATACCTCTGATCCATAAAGTAAAATTGATGCTATCATTGAATCAAATAGACCCAATCACCGGACCCGTTCTTCCAATTGTGTTCTAGGTTGTTATCCGAGGTTTGAAGGAAAGGGCCGATTGCTTATCTCTTTTATGTACAAATACATGTTGTACGCAAGTTGTCGTCGACTTTTATCTTGATTTTTTAATTATTTAAACAATTTGTTTGTGCCGATTTAAAGAAAAAACGCAACTAAGCTAAATCCTTTTTTAAAGCAAATAACAAGAGATATATTCCTTACACATTCTGACAAATATATGTAATTTGTACAAAACCTTTACATTCATACAAGCTCTATTTTTTACGATTTCATATATTTTAAGAATTTATTAACAACCGGTGTGTAATCCTTTATTGTGAGCTCGACTGGTCGTGTGATACCAGCAGCAATAGGCACGGCGGCAGGTGCTGTAGTAACTGGTGTAAAGTTGATGATTCAGACAGAACCTTTAACCATAGCATTATCGTCTGCTGTAGATACTTGGACTTCAACAGGGGCCATTGCAGGGGCCATTGTAAGCAGAACAGCAAACGGTGCAGGTATTGGAGCATTAATTTGTCGGTATATCTGCAGCAGGCATGTGCTCTGTGACGGCTGGTGGTATTGCCATGGCATTAGGATTGTTGGCGTCAAGCCCGTTAGGACTACTGACCGTGGGAACCAGTCGCACGACGGAAGAAAGAAATATTTCACAAGATTGCTGGAAACCAGTCTTTGGTGATACTACCCTAGAACTGTCAAAAGGAATGATGCTAAAGGACCTGGTATGTCATTCTAATGTTAGCAGCGTTGAAATTCAACATGAAGACTGTTTACCGAAACTCTTCATTGAAAATGTATGGAGAGAGGAGTTCGAATAAAATATGTCATATTACTATATTACAAGACGATGATAAAATGTCATGTTAAACCACTGTAATTCCCGAAAACCAAACGTTTTATAAACACTTATATGAACGCATATTTTGTTATGTTCAGTTATTCAGTTATATTTCTTTAGAAAAAGTTGTAGTGCTTAAATGCATGTCAAGTTTATGCGTGTGAAAAGGGTATTGTTTCACATGTTTTCAAAATAAGGTTTCGAAAAACTTTGCTTCAAATCGTAGTAAAGTTATTCGTGAACTTGAAATCATTTAAATCGAAAAAAGTTAACAAAGAGATAAAAAAATAATTGAAATACAAAAAATAAATCAATAAAGTTCACACAAGCCAATGTAATTTACTTTCATACGTTAAAGTACATGTTATCCAATTCAAACCTTTTATATACGAGGATTGATCAAAAAGTTCTCGGCCCGATGTACTTTTGCTAGACAGAGAACCCAACTAACAGTCTTACTTTTCAATATAATCGCACTCTACATCAATGCACTTTGCCCACCTGTGCTCCTACTTGTTAACCCTTCAAAATAGTACTCTCTTTTTTGGTCCTCAAAGAACTCATTGACCGCCTCCATTACATCTTCATTGCTTCAAAAACGTCTACCACGAAGCTTGGATTTCAGTTTCGGAAACAGGTAGAAGTCAGAGGGGGGCAAGCCCAGAGATTATGGGTAATTTGGAAGAATTTCAAAGCCCCAGTCAGTTGCAGCAGCCACCGCAACTTGGGATGTGTGAGCTGGCGCATTGTCGTGCAGGAGCAGTCCTGCACAACGCCTTGAGTCAGTTTGCCCCTCCTTTTACGCGCGATTTCTTGACTCAGACGTCTCAATTCGTCTGCATAGTACGTACCGTTTATGGTACGACCTTGCTCAAGATAGTCAATCATAATTATCCCCTGACTATCCCAAAAAGTTGAAGCCATCATCTTCCCTGATGATGGTACCGTCTTGAGTTTCTTCGGAGGGGGTGAACCAGGGTGCTTCCACTGCATGCTCTGGTTTTTTTATTCTGGATCGGAGTGATGGACCCAGGTTTCATCCTGAGTTACGATCCGGTAGATAAAATCAGGTTCATCCTCGTAGCAAGACAAAATATATCTTGAATTGTCAAGTCTGTTCCGTTTTTGGTCGTCAGTCAACTGTCTGGGGACCCATTTAGCGGAAACCTTTGACATGACATAGACATCAGTCAGTCAGTAAAAATACCTGCAAATACAGGGGCTACAGAAACACTGATTATGCTTTAGCATTACCCTTTGCGTGCAAAATATCACAAAGGAAAAGGTGGTTCGTGTGGCAGATTTTTTACTATTGCTATTTTTTTCTGATGTTGTAGGATCAGTAAAAACAGTTTTCCGAGGTTAAAGATCCTGTAACACATTTTTTTCATGGTTTTATTTCATAAATATGATGCTCAAATTAAGATTTGTCAATATTGTAAGTTCCAATAAGCATTATTTATAAAGATATTACCCAATTTAACATTTCATGAAAATAAAGGGAGGTAATTAGAAATTTATTTTCTATAAATCCTAAATGAAATTTTCCAATAAGAAATGAATGCATATAATTTATTGATTAAATATAATGTGCACAAATATTTGCAATACACATTTTACATATTCTTCGATGTTTGAAAATTGTTTTATTTGCATAATTTCATACATATATAATTTTTGCAAGTGTGGTATACACACAGTAACAATATCAATCACAAACCTTTTCTATATATAATATACAGGATCTTTAAACCCTTTTGCTACTTTTGTATTATTAATATATGCGGTTTTTTTATAAATGTGTACAAAAATGAGCAATGAAATATATTAAATTTTCTATTGCTAAAAGATTGTACCCCCTGTAATATGGGCATGCAGTCCAAAGCATTGTTTCAAAAAATGGCATCCTTGACATTTATCATCAACATCATGTTATTTTAGTCATGTTTTCGTTTTTTGCCAGAGTTCATATTAGACCTAAAAAAACAACACAGAAGGCTAACAAATTTGTTACTAAAATAGCGTTTTAAAAAGACAACCCAGAATAGTCACCATATCAACATGGCAACTGGCCTCGGACAGCAATCGACCATTTATATAGGAATTTTCAGTGGAGGGGTAATCAACATGACCGTATTTGGCAAGTGACCGCTACTCGGAAGTGATCATTAGCTCTCGTTAGACTGTAAACCATTGATCATGTAAAACACGTATGTACAAACAAATATTCAACGAAATACGAAATTGTATAAATTATATTTTCACGGATGAATTGCCTCTTAATTAAACTAATCCAAAGTTATTGAAATCGTAAATGTGAGGTTGTAACATTAACACGATTAAGAACATATAATTGATGAGCATATTTGAATACGTGACTGTTATGGAATGCGAGAAAGCTGGACTTCCTAATGACTTGGATATAGAAAAGGTTTGAATAGCTTTTTCCCTGACGCGTGTACTCGGTATTGGCGGCTTATGCACTTTTTACAAGTGATCGACGCATGAAATATCATTTTACTTATGGAAATGTGAGAAATATGGTTATGGAAATATTGATTATATTGAAAAAGAGTATAACTTAACTTTTAAAAAATATATTCTAGATTTTACAGTCCACCAAATTGTATGTTGTACTGTAAAACTGTTGTTAAACCACTATCTATTGAAATGAAATGCAGAGTTAGATCGTATTGGTCTGTAGGAGCACATATGTCTCGGGGCACATTTGTCTTGGAACACATTTGTCTTACGTAAGATCGATGCGGTCGCATTTGTCCCATATGAGAAAATTGGGACCTCAAATGTCTACCAAAAAAAAAAACTGTGTGACAAATGTGCTCCGATCAAGATTTTTAAGGACCAATAAAGCACATTTGTCTCATGTTTTTTAACGGTAAAGAAATCACATATGTCTCATGTCATTTTCTATAAATCATTTGTCACATATTTTCCCACGGCACAAAATATCTTTTAGAATCGAAGTTCGCCGTTTTACCTCATGTCAAATGGTCAATAGGTTCAATAGGTTTGCTACTGCTTTTTTTGAAATCTTAAACTTAAAAGCTACTGTGGAACTATTAATTCTAATATCTCTAATTCAAGGAATTTGATCGGCTAAACCTGAAGGCGTGTGAAACGATTGTACAAAGGCGAAAGCGGGATGGTACGATTATGAAACAACGATTGCACGAAGATGATAAAACGAATGCATGATGATGAAAACGTGATGGTACGATGGTGAAAACACAATGGTACGATGATGAAACTGCGATGGCATGATGATGGAAACGCGATATTATTTTCACTGTCATTGCATAATGGTGATTTCAACATTGTTCCATCGTTGCTTCATCATCGTGCCGTCGTGTTTTTATCATCGTACCATCGTACTATCGCGCTTTCACCATTGTACTATCGTGCATAGGGGTTCAGGGAGACAAAAAATGTTACTTACGTCCAAACGGAAACCGTAATCGGGTGATATTTGAACGGTCTGCGGATGTTTCTTAATTCAAAATGTCACCATTTTCATGTTAAGATGTTGAATTCTGCTTATGCACAGTGAAAAAATAGTGTCCAATAACCTGTACGCCATTCAGCGACAAGGCCAGACGGCTCCCGAGCTGGTTCCGTTACCATAGTCAGATCTTTGAGAAGCACAGACACGAAGCAATGCGCGATATTTTACCGAGAGACACGGAAAAGCGAGATTCGTCAAAACATGGAGCGAGGCACGATATTTTTTCTGTTTATATATTTCTGATGAAAACAAAATACATGTGGGTTGGTCTTCTCATGTTCTTCCTTGGATCATTTAGGGGCCTCTGTTGCCGAGTGATTTCAAACAAAACTCTTTGCCCCTGACCGTTGTAGGTTCAAAACTCACTCGGGGCGTCGAACTATTCATGCGAGGAAGCCCGTCCAAGGTCTAAATGCGGAAAACCTATCCGCATGCGAATGTAATAGTAATAACTACTTCTTTAGAACGCAATAGCTATCGCGTGCGCACGTAATAGTATCGCGGGCCACATAATAGCTATCGCGCGCGCACGTAATAAATGTCCCCTTTATGCCACCATAGATGTTACCGTGTTGTTGCTTAGAATATTTCTTACCTCATTTATAAAACATTAAGCATCGGAAAGAAACATGCAACAATTAACGATAAGATTGGACACTCTGAATATATGTTTGGGTTCCGGATACTGCACTGGTAAAATTTTTCATTGTGACATGCAGAACAGGCATATTCTTTAAGTTAATATATGACTCCTATGCAAAGGCAGGAAGTTTTTGATTGAACGGAAGTGACCTTAAGTCGGTATTATGAATACAGAAACACAGAACTATGGGAGGTAGCCGGTAAACGGACGGGCATAATTATTACCTTTTTAGAATTTTATGGAAGAATGTGAGACAAATGTGCTTCGAGTGTCCTTTCTATTGTGTGTTGAACACATCTGTCTCATTTTCAAATTGTCGCAAATATGAATGTTTATGAGCACAACGGTCACACCTCGTGAGACAAATGTGCTCCGAGACAAATGTGCTCCTACAAAGCCATATACCAAGACACTAGAAGTTCCCGTGTTTGATATATCGTATTTTGTTAAATGATTTTAATAACTCCTACACTGTATCTAGATTAAAATTTCAGTGGTAAAAGATTATTCAGAATATTTTGTATGGATGTGGACTTTCCGATATGTGGAATTATCATGAATTTTAGAAATTATCAGATCTATTTTTAAATGAGTGGTACTCTTCTACTGAACATTCTAGTAACTGCAAGTGTTATAGACATTTTAAATATAAATTCTGTTCTAAAAGATATCTTGTAGAATAAATAAATTGAGAACAAGAACTAACAAATTGCCAGTAGAAACTGGAAGCTGGAATGGCACCGAATTACATAATCTGTACATTATGTCATAGATCCATTGGTAATGAATTTCATTACATTTTTGAGTGTCCATGTTTTGTTAACAGCAGAAAACGGTTTTTATGTTAATGTATTTATGCATTCTATTGATCTGCTTATGAACACTGATGTTAACCTTCCAGAATAAAAAGCTATATCTATTTATATAAAAATATATATTCAGTTTCGAATCAGCCAAATAATTTACTAATGTATTAATTTATTGTCGTGGAGAACTCAATTGAATGAAGTACTTGCTGAATCTCAAGCGATTGTTTAAGTTAATAGTTTATATATCATGCTATATTGAATGATTGATTCTAAAGCCTGTTTATTATGTATTTGTATTAATGCTCATGTTGTCATGTTTGCATGATTTGAGTAGAATAAATCATTGAAATTGAACTTCTTGTGGACCAAACTAAAATGATAGTACATGTATTAATATGTTCCATTTTGTAATCAATTCAGATTTTCTAGCTAAACATTTTTTAAATAAAAGCTGAAAAGTCATTTTAGGTAGAATAATCTCGAACAGCAACAAAAACAACAATACAATAAAAGTAAAAATATTTAATATATGTATCTTTAGGAAAAAGATCTTATCTTTTTTTTAAATTCATATAGTTATGAAAGCTTATCAGAAAGTTATTACGCGTTTATATATACACAACTTATTAGAATACGTATTTGCTTGGATAGCTCGAGAACCGGGGTATTCAACAAGATGATAACTATAGAGAGTTCATGGGTTGGATTACAGACGGAGGATTACGATACGCATTTGCCAAGAAAAACGGTAAAGATGATTTTTATCGTAAACAAGTTGATGAAAAAAGCAGACGAAAAGTTATAATCGTCGGTGCCGGAGTGTCAGGTCTAGTGGCAGCTTATGAACTTGCACAAATTGGTCATGAGGTTTGTTCATTTGTTAAAAATGTTAATGTCGCAGTGAAAATCTGTATGTGAAACTATTTATGTTAGTTAAATAAAATGAAAGAAAAAGAAGTACAAACTGTAAATGTAAAGTCTAAAACTCACAATCTGTAATTTGTTATAATGCTATTCTAAACCTATATATACGAGGGTTGTCGCAGAAATAAAGAGACATCTGTTGTCAATCTATAATAAGTATATTCAAAAAATAAAAACAAATGACTATAGCGTCTTACTCTTTAATATTATTCTAAAATTATTGTAGAAATACTTGGAATATTTATCTAAGATCTATATACAAAATACACACATCACTGTCTGAAAACCGACGCACAAATACTGTTAACTTTCCATTGTGTCGCCTAAACCTCCTTCTCTGCATAGTCTCCGCCAGTGCGGACACACTTTCTGTGTCAATATAAAAGTCTTTACCAAATGTAGGCACGATCTTCTGTGTTTCCGCCATCAGTTTCTCTCGACTGCTCAAATGAGTGCCTAGCAAACTGAATTTCACGTCCAGGAACACACCGAAGTTCACTGGGGACGAGGTCGGGACTGTAGTGCGGATGACTGCTTCTTTGAAAAGCCAAGACATCAATGTCCAACTGAGAGAATCTCTCCGGAGCGCGTGGACAATATCACGCGACAGCAACTGAAACTGAGAATTAACTAATAACATTTTAGCCAATTGCAAATGGTTTGCAAGTCTTTTTTCTTTCTTTTTACCATTTCGTAGTACAACTATTTGATTAAATTTTGTGAGCCAATAGAAACCAATATAAAGAAGGTAGTTTTGAATTGTAATCAGCGTTGATAGTACGTCTCTCAGGCACCCGGTGAATCAGTATCATTCCGTGTCTGTTCATAAAGAAGACACACATGTGCTTACCTTCTCTGTCAGTGGTGTGTCTGTTGTTTCCCAAATGGACGAGTCGGCATTTGTTTCTTGGTCATAATTCAAGAGACAAGTTTCATACCGGGTGACTATTTCGTCTAGAAACACATCGCCTTCTTCCTCCTAACGGTCCAGAAATTCCGACGATGACATCACGCATTGAGTCTTCTGGTCCTCGTTGAAAAGTCGGGGTACGAATCTAGAGCTCACCTTGCTTATGTTCAGATCTTTCAGTATCAGAAAAACTGTATCTATAGACGAGTGTTGAGGCTAAGCATCTCACTGTAAAGCAATCTGTTCTCTAATCTGCTTTACGAGGGACAATTGCAGACTGCAAGGTCCCCTCTTTTCGTCTTCTATAGACTGGCGACCTTCCCCAAACTCTTTATGTCATCCCATCTAAACACTTATGAATGACAACATTTATATCTGCCGGCCTCTGTGTCGGTGTTTCTCAAGCGCATGGCAGAAAAGAATTACCACCCGTAACTTGACATCGCCGGTTAAAGTCATGACGATTTTCTCTACGTAGACAGTTACTTGGTACATAGCACTGTAGCTCTCAGCTACTGATAATGTTAAGGTGTCCTAACAAACTGAAATTGACGTTGTAACGCCATGCCTAATTCTGGCGAAATTTGGCCCCAAAACGTGCCGTTTTTAAGTCTTTGTTAGGTTTAAAAGGGGCTAAAGTTCTCTTAGCGACATATAATATTGCGTGTGCCGCCCGTCAAACATGTTACCATGGACTCGCTCTGATTTTTAACAGAATTTTTTTTTCGATGCAGAGCGTTTTTAAAGATGGTACATTTATTAAACTACATTGTTTATTCAAGCAGATATATTGACACGAGTGGCTTATGACAAAAGTTTTTTTACCTCTGCAACAACACTCATATATAACAAGGCATATACGATACATGATCATTATACTAAAATGCTGAAATTAATGATTGAAAAAGAAATTATACTGTGACAGGTGACTATTCTTGAAGCACAGACTCAAGTTGGAGGTAGAATCCATACGATCAGAAAAGGTTTTGCACCAGGTCTTTACGGTGAAGGTAAGAAATACTAGTAGCTATAACTCTGCAATAATATAACTGTCAATGACTTGTACATTGGTTGAAATGTAACTCATACAATAAAAAAATGTCAGAACATTTTGTTTTAAAAATTATTAAGTGGAGAGAGTCATAAGAAAATTTCACAATATTTTGTTGTTTTGCTTGTGTATTAAGTGATCGTATCTCTTTTTTTATAGTACCGCGTGTTCAAACGGGTACTTTGAGTTATATTAACTGCTTTCTTAACTTTGTTATATCATATGCAGATATTAATTTAAAACATTTATTATCAATAATAGATCAGCAATCACCTGTCAATGGCATATCATTGATGAAATGGAAATCATGGAATTATACTTTTAACATTATTGTTTGAAAAAAAAGTGGAGAAAGTCTTAAAAATAAAAACATAATATTTTGTTGCTTTGCTTGTGTATTTAGTCACCGGATCTTTTTTTATAGTATCATATACACTTGTTAAGACGGGTACTTTGAATTTAATTAACTGCTCTCTTTACTTTGTTATATGATTTGCGATTATTAATTTTAGATCATTATTGATAAAAATATAGATCTGTAAAATCTATTAACTTATATATTAGTTTTCTATTTGTATAGGTGGCGCAACTCCCCTATAACCACTTTCTAACAAGGCACTATATAAAACTGTTCCATATCGACATTAGACCATTTCAAAATTTCAACGAAAATGCCTTTATTACTGTTAACGGAGACCCGCCTATAAATATATCAGGTAATGATTAACTTTTATCAAGTCATTACACACAAAACAGTCATCTGTAATGGTGAGATAACTTTAAAACAATCAACACATACATGTAGAATCACAACAGCATGAATAAGTTTGCCGATAACATTTCTTGTGTCAGCTTTCAACTATAATATACCAGAGATAGGGGCCATTTATTCCAAATGTGTGTCCAAAAGTATAATCAGTCTCATTTAAAAGCAAAATGTATACAAATTCCAAAAATCCATTTCTTAAAAAAATCCTCTTTTACAATCACCGAAAATCCAAGATGGCCGCCAAATTTTAAGAAATCAACCTGTATAATAAAAAATATATTTCTGAGTGTATATTTTGATATCTTATATTGTTTTATTACTGCAAATGAAAGGATGTATATTATTTTACATGAATTTAATGCTTTTAAAATAAATATGTATCTTTCTAGGAGGAAATGTGCCTAAAACCAACAGAAATATACTAAAATTATTTAAATTAAAAGTTTTTAAATCCATCAGAATGAGTTTTTGTATGCAAATTTTATCATTTTGTGTAGTTTTGGATAGAATAAGTTGTTTGGTACTGGCACAATTGTTCTACGATTATAATTTCTGCTGTGAAAATAAGTTTCATCCGAAAAGTGGGTGGGGTAAATTAAACCGATTTTGAAAAAAATAAAGAGTTTCATAAAGCAATAAGATTTTTTCATTTCCAACTTTTAATTTACTTTTCTTCTATGCAAGTAATGTCAAATGTAATATAACAGTTTTGGTTATGTTATATTTATTTATTTATTTAACTTTCTTTTTTTTTTGAAAACTGGTA